TTGACTATGAGCATAGCTTTGGTTTGGTGCCACCGTAATGGTGTTAGGTAATTAAAATACACTGAATGGTGGGCTGTGGGTGCATGGTTTTGCTGGTCGCACCCATGGCAATTAAGGACCGGTTCACGGGAAACCCTGGGAGACTTACCGTGCTTACCACAAGCGGGAGTGGGTAACTGCTTGATCTGAAGTATAGCTCGACCCTTTCCTAGGCACCGGGGGCGAGGGTGGGCGTGATGGAGTTGGGTCGGCCGGGGTGTCCGGTTGTCCAGCTGCCGAATTCACCGCGGCGCAAGAGGGGACCGCCCACTGCCTTTTGAGGGGTGGGGGTGAAACCTTAGCGTGGTGTGGATGGTTAGGGGAGGGTTATGTGGAGGGTCTTGTCACGATTTCCCCCTTTGCAGTATCATGGTGATACTTCGGGGCATGGCGACATGTGTGGAATCGTGTCTTGTGGGTACAGTTGTACACCTCTGGCCAGAGTAAAACTATTCGAATAGCCGTGCCCGCGGTTATGGGCGATCAACCAGATTCACCGTGATTAGTCTCACCCCTAGTTTAGCTTAATGAACTGGTGTAGTTCAGGTGGTTGGTTGGGCCTGTTGCAACGTGGTGTAGCGTTGGACAGTGATAGGTTAATATTGATTAATTACTACAGCTGTTTTACTACTTTCAACTACTGCTTTGAAATGCCTGCTTTATGCAAAAGAACCCCTAGCTTCCTTTGGTTATATCCTGCATCATACCTCCTCTTCCGGTATGACTTGCTGAGTACAGTGGGTAGTACTCAGTCTTGCTCTCTTTTCCCCCACACCAGAGCTGAAGATCTTCCTAGTTGGAGCTGTTTTGTCAAAGTTGGTTTCGTCGCTGCCGTCAAGGATTGCCTGTGGAGTGGAGTCGCTCGCTGCTGAAGTCAAGCTTCCCGGTTTAGCTCGCTTTTATCTTTCCCGCTGCATTTGTAATCTTTTCTATTTTTGTAAGACGTGGATCTGTATGTCAACAATTGTCGTTTGTGTACCCTGGCTGGTCTTGGACAGGGATTTAATGCACATTCAGCTTAGAAATTCTGGTTTGAGAATTTCTGGGCGTGACACTTACTTTATTAATTAAGAGGGCTAAAAATGCTGGTTCATTGAATGGGGTAGTCCCTCACCTAGTGGATGATGGTTTATCTATTTTACAGTATGCAGATGATACCATCATTTTTTTGGAACATGACTTACAACAAGCGAAGAATCTTAAATTGATTTTATATGTGTTTGAAAAGTTGTCTGACTTGAAAATAAATTTTCATAAGAGTGAATTATTTTGTTTTGGTCAGGCAAAAGAATATTATGATGAGTATTCTAACATCTTTGGTTATAAGTTTGGCTCTCTCCCTGTTAAATATCTTGGTATACCAATGCATGTTAGAAAACTGAATAATAGAGATTGGAAAATGATTGAGAAAATAATTGAGAAAAAACTTAGTAGTTGGAAAGGAAAACATTTATCTGTTGGGGGTAGACTGGTTTTGATTAACTATGTACTTTCAAGTTTAGTTATGTTTATGATATCTTTTTTTGAGATACCAAAAGGGGTTCTTCAAAAAATTGATTATTATAGATCACGGTTCTTTTAGCAAGGGGATGACCATAAAAAAAGTATAGACTTACTAGATGGGATATCATTTGTCAACCTAAGGATCAGGGAGGTTTAGGGGTTCATAACTTGGAAATACAAAACAAGTGTCTCTTGAGTAAGTGGTTGTTTAAGTTGATTTAACGAGGAAGGTGTGTGGCAAAATCTATTAAAGAGAAAGTATCTCTACAATCAGTCTATAACCCAAGTTAATAAGAAACAGGGCGATTCTTATTTTTGGTCAGGTCTCATGAAGGTCAAAGATACCTTCTTAGATATGGGTTCTTAGACTGTAAATAATGGGAAACAAATAAGGTTCTGGGAAGATAAATGGCTAGGAAACCTGGCTTTTAAAGACAAATATCCATCTTTATACTCTATTGTCTGAAGGAAAAGTTCTACTATTGCTAATGTTATGAGATCTGTTCCACTCAGTGTTTCCTTTAGGAGATCATTAGTTGGTCAGAATCTTGCATATTGGCATGAATTGTGTGCTTCTATTGTACATATTCAATTGAATCAATCCCCTGATAGCTTTAGATGGAATTATCATCAGAATGGAATATTTTCTGTTAGGTCGATGTATCTAGCTTTAATTAATAATGGTTATATTGAGAGAAACAAGATTATTTGGAAGCTTAAGATGCCACTTAAGATTAAGATTTTTGTGTGGTACTTGCTTAAAGGGGTTGTCCTAACCAAGAATAATTTGGCAAGACGAAATTGGAATGGTAGTTTAAGATGTTTTTGTATGAAAAATGAGACTATTCATCATCTTTTTATAGAGTGTCATTATGCAAAATTTGTTTGGAGAGCAGTACAGTTCTCTCTTGGTTTATACCTTCCTACTACCATATCTAATATGTTTGATGGTTGGCTCTTGGGGGTAGACAAGAAGAAGAGTAAACTCATACTTGTAGGAGCTTCTGCCATATGTTGTGCTCTGTGGTTGACTAGGAATAATATGGTTTTTGACAAATCACTATCTATCTCATATATGCAGGTGATTTTCAGGGCAACATATTGGTTCCGATTTTGGGCACAGTTGCAAATGTGTGAAGATGATCGAGAGCTTATGAAGGTTGCATGTCGTAGGCTTGAGACAACGGTCATGCAACTCCTTGCAAACTATGGATGGAGATTCACAAATAGACTTGAATAAATATGCTCTCCTTATCTTAGTTTGATCTTTTATTTTGTTGGGTGTGTTTAATTCATTTGAACTACACTCAGTGTTTGGGTGTTACTTTTATAATAATTGGCTGTAGCTCTGATGAGCAAAGGCCGGGATGTTTTATTCCATTATAAAAAAAAATTAACCCCTCCTACGTTAAGTGTTTTTTGGAACGGAGGTAGTATGTCGTGCGTACACAAGTACAAAATATTAGGATGTGATGTTTAAATTTGTTGCATTAAAATGCATTATGTTATAATACAAGGTTAGTTTATTTTGGAATAGAATGAGTATATCGCAGCGTGCCATTATATCGATCATATCGAAATTGTATAAAGACGGAGTCAAGGATAACTGGATAAGGTGCAGTGCTCCATATCGTTCTATTGACTTAGCTTTGTTGCGGGTGAAAAACAAAAGGGAAAAAAAAATCAACGCCCATCTTATATGTCAGACGTGTACACTGCAAGTTACACTTATCGCATTGAGCCATTGACCGTGAAAAATATATACCAGCAACCGCAGGTAAAATAGTTGGTTAGTTAGGACGACAAAGTGACCGTTTCAACGTCAGCAAACCAAAAGTAAAGAGTGTTTATCCGATACAATCTCAAAAAGTTTTTTCTTCTGAATCTTATCGACAGTTTGACTGTCACTCGAATTGTCTCCCAGCTGCATATGCTGCTTATAACATCCTGGCCGGCCGCCTCACGTACGTCGCCGGCCGGCAAGCCAAGCGCCGCCCGACACCTGCATGCACGACGACCTAGCCTCTGCGTCCAACCGGAAATCGCCGCGATTCGGCCGCCAGCGACAGGCACCTGGCCATGCATTAGCCGGCCGACGCAATTGCGCGTCGTACGTCGTCGTCGTTGCATCGCGACCCAGGCAGAGAGGAAAGTCAGGAGATTCAGACGTTCAGAGCTAATAGCATGCAGCAGCAGATGAATCTCGACGACTACCTGCTGAGAGTGTTGGTCGGATCAAGATCGAGCATGCAAAGTATTTCAACACGGCAGAGTGGCAAACAGACAGTTGGGACGATGTAACCTACTGCAGCTAGCTTGGAAGCTTCTGCCGACGGAGGATGTAATATGTTCAGCAATTAATGGGACACAATACGTACTACATGTCGATTCTAGCGTGTTCTCGTGATCATGTGCTAGCTTAGGTTAGCTTGACACTGCTCGTTAAGTTTGGCTACGATTAATGCCACTGATGCAAATGCTCCCTGTCGTCATATATATATATATATATATATATGCTGGTGATTAATTTCTAGCCGTTCACCGATCAGCTAGCCGCCTAGCCGTCATGTCAACACGGCTGTGCAGATGGGCACGGTCGTCTCGCGGATGTAACCCATGGTGTATTGTACATGGGAGAGATCGATATACATCGAGCTATAGCTAGCGAGAGGCCGGCCGGCAGGTCACACGTAAACGTCGTCGGCGACAGGAGTGGGATGGACAGAGATATGCTATATCTGTCTTTTAATATATCTTTTAATATATGGTTTCATTAACTTTTTCTAATAAACTTTTGATCATCCATCTTATTTAAACTTTTAATAAAACTATGAAAACCTTTTAAGTCGTGCTTAAAAAACATAAATCAAGTTACAATAAAAATAAATAATCATTACATATAATTTTTTAATTAAGAAAATGGTTAAACGTGCCTCAAACAATCAATGATATCATACACCAATACTTGAGGTTATATTCACCGGGATTTAATTTGGATAGGCTTATCTAGTGGCACGCGCCAGCGAGCCTGGACTGTCAAATCAAGGAGGATTGCGTACTAATCATGTAACTAAAACGGGAAAACACTGCCAATACTCAATAGGGACATGGCCGGCATGCTGCCCATTCCGAACTTGATCGAGCATTAAACTAGTAGCAATTTAGCATGACATGGTACTCGTCTACACGTGTCTGGCCACTGTATTTAGTACAGTATTCGGTCTTCTCTTCAGACACTGCACTTTGCGAAACCGTAAGCACGAACAGGGCACTTCGTTTTGAAGAAACTGCACCGGGTTTGTTTCGAGATTAGTGCACAAGATCAACGGCAGAGGGGGTCTGCTTCAGTTGCGGTTTAACTCACGATCTGGGCTGATGCTACGGCCCACTTTGCTTTTGCGTGAGGCCCATATATCCGGCCCGTGGGTCCACGCGGTGTGGATTTCGGCCCAATAGCCCATAACCACCTCCCTTACTCCTCAGCCCGGTTGTCCCCAGATCCCCCTCTTGTCACCGAGGCGGCGAGCGGAGCGAAGCGCCGGTGGCCGGCGGCGCAGCGACCCGCGGAGGAGCGAGGCGGACGTGCGGCGGCGCATCGAGAGGAGCAGGTGGCTGCGGAGGCGCGACCGGCATAGGGAGCCCCGCTGGAGAGGGGTCAGCGGCGCGGGTGCGTGTCATCCGTCGGCCGCGTCTCCATCTCGGATCGCCGGAGAGGGAGGAGGGGTGGGGGTGGTACAGGTGCGTTCTTTGATTCCCCTGCGGTGAGATGAGCTAGCCTGCCATGGATTCGCTGTGCTGTTCCTACTTAGCTCGGTGATCTTCGTTGTAAGCGTGGTCAAATTTGACTTTACAATTTTACATTATGTGTGCTGCTTCTAGTCTCGCGCCGCCTCTAAGCACATTCTTTTTCCCCCTTTCTTTATACTTCTGACCCGTCGAGTAGAACTTTTTTGACATCAATCGTGCTTGCATTCTACTACTAGAATGTTAGTTCTTGAAGAGAGATAACAGATTGTGCATTTGTTCATTCCATTTCTTTTGTTTTTTCATTCCATTTCTTTTTTTGACAAGGAGGAGAGAGACGGGCACCTAGGAGAAGCTTCACCGGTTTCTATCAAGTAAGCTTGTTGTATGAGTGAGGTTACAGAACACAATGTCCAGCAATAGCGGGGGTAGCGCGAAGGAGAAAGATCCTGAAAATGCTCCGGAGCTTGTGGCACTGCCGTTGGTCCGGACCCTGAGGCCTGTTCATGCAGTGATTGATCCTGCCGCTGACCCGAGATCAGCACAGCTGTCTTGGCCGGGCCATGTAGTCCTCCTGCCTCCATATGCAACATGGCCTCATCATGTGCCGACCCTGCCACCAGCGGTGAATCCTGCAAATCCACAACAAAACGTGGTACTGCGATTTTATAGTTGCCTATGTGACTTTCTTGATCTAGGTGTTGAGGGATATGTTCATATATCGCCTCCTTCTTATTGATTGTGCTGTGCTGCAATTTGTGATTGGCAGGATGTGGCGGCGGCTGATGTTAGTCCTGACGTTGGTTGTTGTGATGAGAAGATGTTGCCAAAGGTAGATATGCTGTTTGATGGCGAAAAAGAGGCATACGATTTCTACAATGCGTATGCAGAGATGGTGGGCTTCTTTGTCCGGAGATCAACACTCTGGACAACGTCAAAGAACATAATCACTAGGAGAACTTTTGTCTGCTCGAGAGAAGGTTTTCGGGAGAAGAAGAGGGGCACCAAAGAAGCAAAGTGCCCGCGGCCTGAAACAAGAATTGGGTGCCCTGCGAGCATGACCATTAGACTTAATACCAACGGCAAGTACCGTTTGACAGAGTTTGTACCAAACCATAACCATCAACTTGCAACAGCATCTACAATGCATATGCTGAAGGCTAAGAAAATCAGGCTTAAAGCACGGGCTGCGAGAGAAAATCTGGTTGATGATACTGTGAGGACGCCAGAATTTGGGAGTGAAGATGAGGCATATGAATTTTACAGCATGTATGCTGGGAAAATTGGTTTCAATGTGAGAAGGGCAAGCATGACTATGAATGCTGAAAATGTCATCACAAGAAGGATGTTTGTTTGTTCAAAAGAAGGTTTCCGTGAGAAGAAAAGAGGGGCAAAAAGAGTAAAGAAGCCTCGCCCAGAGACCCGAACTGGTTGTCCAGCGTGTATGGTCATTAGACTTACATCTAATGGCAAATATCATGTAACAGAATTTGTTACCTTCCATAATCACCAGCTTGGTGCAACAGTACCTTCTGATCTTGTGGCAACATCACAAAGTACAGAAACTGGTCAAGATGATGGACTGGATTTGGTTGATGGTTCAGCTGATGCTAATATCCACAGGCAAAATCTTATAATTGGAAATATCATGGCAACATCTCTAGAAGGTAGAAGTAACAAAAGATTCAAGTGTACAAAGGTTCCTCACTATGGTGATGTAGGTGCTACTCTAGAGTACCTGCAAAAGATGCAACATGATAACCCTTCATTCTTCTTTGCAGTAAAATCTGATGATGATGGGAACTTGACAAACTTTCTATGGTCAGATTCAAAGTCTATCATGGATTTTGTCCACTTTGGTGATGTGGTATGTCTTGATTCAACGTATGCATTGCAGGGCTATGGTAGGCCACTTGCTTTATTTACGGGTGTGAATCATCACAAGCAAACTGTTATCTTTGCTGCTGCATTGCTTTATGACGAAAGTGTGGAGGCTTTCAGATGGTTGTTTGATACTTTTAAGATGGCAATGAATGGAACTCAGCCCAAAACATTGTTAACTGATAGATCTGATGCAATAAGTGAAGGTGTTGCAGCAAGTTGGCCTGCGACAGCCCATCGTTATTGTGTCTGGCAAATTTACCAAAACGCTCTTCAGCAGTTGAGTCAAGCATTTCATGGGTCAAAAACCTTAGATTACTGCTTCCAGAAATGCCTATTTGACTCTGAAGATGAGCCTGAGTTTTTGACAGCATGGAGAGAAATGTTGGAAAAGTATGACCTAGAAGATAATCAATGGCTAGCAGATTTGTTCTCTCTTAAGGAGAAATGGGCACTACCATATGGCCGCGAGGCATTTTGTGCTGATATGAAAAGTGTCCAGCAGAAGGAGAGCTTGGGCACTGAGCTTAAGAAACACTTATCCCTAGAATTTGACCTTTTGAGTTTCTTCAAGCAGTTTGAAAGAGTATTGTGTGACCGCCGATCAACAGAATTGCAGGCTGATGTGGATGCTAGTCAGAGTACAAAGAAGCCACCACCTATGCGAGTGTTAAGGCAAGCTTCCAATATATATACACCTGCTGCCTTTAAAATGTTCGAGAGGGAGTTTGAGTTATACATGGATTGCATGTTATACAACTGTGGTGAGATGGGCACAATTTCTGAGTATAGGGTAGTCATTGAGGACAATCCAAAAGATCATTTTGTTAAATTTGATTCGCTTAATTCCATGGTAAACTGTAGCTGTAAAGGGTTTGAATTCGTAGGCATTCCATGCCGCCATATGCTAAAGGTACTTGACACCAGGAATATCAAGGACCTTCCTCCTCAATACTTCTTGAAAAGGTGGAGAAAGGATGCTAAATCAGGATCTCCAAACTGTAGTTATTCATTCCCACTTGATGGTGATCCTCAGTTGGTTCAAACAAAACGTTATAACTTGCTGTGTCGGATGTTCAGCATAGCAGCAGCTAGGGCTGCAACCTCTATAGAAACTTTTGCATATATGGAAAACCAATCAAGCATATTTATGGACCAAGTAGAACAAGCTCTTCAAACAAGGCCCCCAGACATCGCTGCCATGATTGGGGCTCATTGTGATCAAACACAAAATCCAATTGACAATATCGTCGCAGGAGGTCTACACAGCCATACTAATTTCATCAATGGCCCTGCTGATGGTACTTATTATATTATTCTTTTACCATTAAAAACTATATTGCTGGCTTGCTGCCATAGATCTTATTAATGATCTTATTTGCATGCAGGTTCCCTAACCTTTCCATTTACATTGGGTGCTGGTGTGTTGGATTACCGCTAGATAGTGACTAATTTCTTACAAGTACTAGCCACAAGGAGCTGCGAATTCTGTACAGTGATCTTTTCGTGGAAATGCATTTTATATATCACCAGAAAATTCCAGGTTATGTCCCTCTGCTGACCCACTTCCTCATCCAGGTGATTACATGGTAATATTGTGCATCTTGCTGGCTGGCAATTTGACAATGCTTACACATTATACCGTAGAGCTGAGAATAGTGATGGCTAGCCCATCCATTGTACATGTAATTTTCAGATAAAGTTTAGAGAATGATGAAAAGTTTCCATCGGTGTATTTACTGAAACAATATTAGAAAATCCATTTGGTCACTTATTAGTTGTTATTACTAACTAATAGTCATTTCAACTCAACAACAAAAGTCTGTAGCCTTTAAGTTGTCTCCTGCAGTCATTCCTGTTTAGAGGAAGTTGGCAATCTATCTTCTGTCAGTGTGGTGGAATGTCGAGTGATGAATTTGGGGTTCCTCAAGTGAGAAGAATTGCTTTGGTGACTGATGGGCTCCTTACTAGTGATACGTATGGTGCAGCGAAGCCGGATAGGATGTAACAGTTTCAATTTTGATGTACATATGATGTCGAACCAGTATTTTGATCACCTAGAGTAAACTGTTTGATTATGCTTACTCTCTCTTTGTGTGTGATGTCCTCAAAGAATTTTGAGAAAGATGTCAGGATGCATGGAGCAAACGAGCAAATAATCGTGCTCGTGCAGGTGAAATATTGTCGAAGTTTCTCTCTCCCTTAATCAGAAGTTTGCAACAAAAGAAGGCTTTGAAATCAAATACCGGTAAAAAAATTATCGAAATACTCCTACCTGCTTAGATTCTGTGAGATTTCTACGTTGTGTAAACAGCCCCAAAATTGGAGACCTTTGTTCTGTTGGATTTTTCCAATAGGCTTTCTGCACGATTGTACTGAGTTAACAATTTAACATGCTCGCACGGGAAATAATTCTCCGTTTCTAGCTTAAAGTGAATCGTTCATCGTGAAATTCCTACATTCGAAATGAAAATTTTAAATTCGTTTTGAGTGTGTTTTGATTTTCTTTTCTTTAAAGGGAGGGCGCTTTGATTTTCACTGCTGCTCGGTACTTCGGGTGTGTTCTTTTCTCTCGTACCCAACATCCAGTCACTTATTTTCCATGTGCACGTTTTTCAAATTTATAATTAATATGTTTTTAAATTATATAAAATAGTTGCTTCAAAAATCATATTAATTTATTTTTAATTTTTTAATTAATACTTAATTAATTATGTATTAATTTGTAGCTCCGTTTCCGAGTAGAAAGGGTTCTGAAAAGTTCCAACCCTCTAGAACACAGCTCAGCCTCATCTTTTCGCTTCTACTTATATGAGTAAATATATTTACAAGCTAAAATTTGAATTTCCAACCTTAAATTTGGAGTTGATTTTGAAGTTTTTCATCTTAGTTTATTTTTCATTCTTTGTTTTAGATCACTAAAAACACATATATAAAAGTTTTATTCCCAAGTTATTTTAAGTTTGCAAATATGCCCTGGTCGTTGCTAGCAAGAACCCTTTTGAAAACATAAAAACGATTTTAACAGTAACCCTCGGATCTTCCGTGGACGGCCCAGATCGACACGGGTGGGGGATCGAGCCCCCCACCTTGAAGCCCTCCCAACTCATATTTTTGCCAAAACCTCCCCAAACCCTAGACACCCGCCGCCGCGGCCCATCAACTCCGGCGAGCTCCACCCGCCGCCCTCCACCCTCCTCCCTCCCTCCGTCTCCGTCTCTCCCCGGATCTCCTCCCGCGGCCGGAAGGGATCCACCGGCCACCGGCGGCGGGGGGATGAAGAACCTAAAGGTGGTTACCCGGATAGCGCAGAAGCTTCAGCTCCAGCTCGACGGGGAGACCGTGGTAGTCTCCGCCGTCGACGCCGAGCGCCGCCGCGCCTTCTTCGTCTCCTCCGAGAACTTCCTCTACTCCGTCGACCTCCCCGCCCCCACCCAGGTACGGTTCCTCTGCTCACCAATTTGTTATACTGCTTGAAATCTTCGTTTTATTGTTTGCCTCGCAACGTAGCAATAGTAGTACCACGCTCAGTACAAGAGGGATACACATATTATATGGTGTTAATTTACCATGCGTATGATTCTCAGATTCCAGTTTTTTGGGTCAATACACCCGTTTATACTGCTAACTAAATTTGGGCAGAACACTATGATTTTTTTTTTTTGTACAACGAAACAAACAAACACATCATCATCTTCAATTTGCTATGGTAGCACTGAGCGTGTACCTTCTAACCTAAATATTTGATATTTAGGACAAGATCTTTTTCAAACTTTTAAAATTCCAACCATCAATAATTTCTCAAATTCTTAGTTTAAAACAAAAGTAATGGTGTTTGTAGATTTTCCTTGGAAAGTACTTCCTGCTTCTGTTTATATACGACGTCGTCATATATAAATGGAAGGAGAGTAATATCATAAACTTGCTATATTTTATAAACTTTTTCTAGTATAAATTTTATGGTTGGAATTTTGAAAGTTTGATCAAATCTTGTCCTAAACGTCAAATATTTATGGCCGAAGGGAGTATATAATCTGTTTTTTTAGTCGATATGATTATTACCTTTTCTTTTGCTAGTATTTCTGTTTTGCTGATTGCCTATTTTGTCTTTCAGCAATCACTGCAATGGAGCGAAAGTACCCTAGACTCTGATGCAGAGGAGGTTGTTCTTGAACCTGGAGATTACATAGTTGCCATGGATTATCTAATGGAGAAGGAGTCTTTGCTGCTTGGTTCATCAACCGGTTGTCTATTATTGTATAATGTGGATGAGAAAACTACTGAAGTTGTGGGACGACTGGAGGGTGGTGTGAAGACCATTGCTTCTAGTCCTGATGGGGCCCTTATTTCTGTTACGACCGGGTTTGGACAATTGCTCATCATGACAAACGATTGGGAAGTGCTGTTTGAGACTTCTCTCGACCCTCATGTAAGTTTTTGTTTACATGATCTGACTAAAGATATGACTAAAATGTTCTCATTCTACACATGCTTGTTTCCAGTGTGATCTTACAGGTGATATCAACAGTCCCAATGGTCACATCCAAAGTTCTATTTCTTGGCGGGGTGATGGAAAGTTTTTTGCTACTCTTGGTGGGCTTGAAGGGAGCTCTCAGAAACTTACTATTTGGGAACGTGAATCAGGAAATATACATTCTTCTTCAGATACCAAGGCTTTTATAGGAGCATCACTTGATTGGATGCCAAGTGGAGCCAAGGTTGCCACTGCCCATGACCGGAAGACAGAGGGAAAGTGCCCTCTCATTGTATTCTATGAAAAGAATGGCTTAGAAAGGAGCCACTTTTCCATTGATGAGCCAGCAGAGGCTGTCATCCAAGCTTTAAAATGGAACTGCAATTCTGAACTCTTAGCTGCTCTAGTCTCTTGTGGCCAGTATGATGTTATCAAAGTATGGTCCTGCAGTAACAATCACTGGTACTTGAAACAAGAACTGCGATACACAAAGAAAGAAGGGGTGAGGTTCTATTGGGATCAAACAAAACCAATGCATCTCATCTGCTGGACATTAGGTGGTCAGGTTATTACGCACAGGTTTGCTTGGACTACTGCTGTCAGTGAGACTTCAATTGCGCTTGTTATTGATGGTTCCCATGTCCTTGTAACTCCTCTCAGTTTGGGTCTCATGCCACCCCCCATGTCTTTGTTCCATCTTACATTTCCTTGTGCTGTGAATGAGGTTTCTTTTCTATCCTATAACTCGAAAAACCATATTGCTGCTTATCTTTCTAATGGCAGCTTGTGTGTGTCGGTACTTCCGGTGGCAGATACTTGGGAAGAGTTTGAAGGCAGTGGCATAAGTGTTGACCCTTGCTTTTCTGAGTCAACATTGAATAACTATATGCACCTGACTTGGATTGATACGTGTACCTTGATCGGCATTTGTTGCCGCGCTGATGCCTTCTCTTCAACACCAATGAGGTCCAGTGAAGCTAGTAGCCTTCTAGAGAAAAATGACTCGCCATATTTTATCAATGAGATTGAACTTGTATGTTCCGAGGATTCTTTGCTAGGTTCAGCCTGTTCATCAGGTTGGCAGGCAAAAATATCGAAGAAAATGCCTCTGCAGGCTGCAGTTATTGGAATATCTCAAAATCCAGCAAAAGAAGGTTCAGCCTTTATTCAGTTAAGTGGAGGAAGGGTTGTTGAATACTGCTCAAAAGTGAATTTGTTTAGAATGTCTGCCCCGGTACAAGTTAGTGAAACAGGTTCCGACCATACTTTTCCAACATCATGCCCTTGGATGACTGCTGTTCAATGCCATGAAAATGGAATGGTTAGGACACTTCTCTTTGGACTTGATGATAGCAGCAAGTTGCATGTGGGCAAAAGGTTATTAAGCAGTAACTGTAGCAGCTTCACATTCTATTCCAGTGCTTATGGAGCAAAAGAGCAGGTTGTGACCCACTTGCTTGTGACTACTAAGCAGGATCTTTTATTCATCGTGGATATCAGTGAGATTTTACTTAAAAATGGCGAAGTGACAACCGATAGCCATATCAGGAGTCATCCTCGAGGAAAGCAAAGCAAAGAGCATATCACTGTATGGGAAAAGGGGGCAAAGCTGATTGGTGTTCTCCATGGTGATGAAGCAGCTGTCATAATGCAAACCACCCGTGGTAACTTGGAGTGTATCTACCCCAGGAAGCTGGTCCTTGTTTCAATTGTTCAGGCACTGGTTCAGGGACGTTTTAGAGATGCATTTGACATGGTAAGGCGCCATCGGATTGATTTCAATATGGTTGTTGACTACTGTGGCTGGAAATCTTTTATGAAGTCAGCGGCAGATTTTGTTAAACAAGTCAATAACCTTAGCCACATCACTGAATTTGTTTGTTCAATAAAGAATGAGAATGTCAGCAGCAAATTGTATGAGACCTACATATCATTTCCTGATCACTGTGCAACCTCTGTGGCTGATACTGTAAATACTCATGGTCTGTTGTCAGACAACAAAGTCACATCTGTACTGATGGCAATTCGAAAAGCCCTTGAGGTGCAGGTGGAAGAAAGCTCATCAAGAGAACTCTGCATACTGACTACTTTAGCCCGTAGCGAACCTCCTCTGTTGGAGGAAGCACTGAATAGAATAAAAGTTATCCGAGAACTGGAACTTCTTGGGGTTGATGATGCCAGGAGAAAGCTCTACCCATCTGCTGAAGAGTCCCTGAAGCACTTGCTATGGTTAACCGAACCAGAAGCTGTTTTTAATGCTGCTTTGGGACTGTATGATCTGAATCTTTCTGCTATAGTAGCTTTAAATTCCCAAAAAGATCCAAAAGAGTTCCTTCCTTTTCTCAAGAGTCTTGAATGCCTTCCTCCTGCTATTATGAAGTACACAGTTGATTTAAGACTCGGAAGATATGAAAGTGCTCTCAAGAACATTGTTTCTGCTGGCGACGAGTATCATGAGGACTGTATGAAACTCCTCAACGCTAACCCTCAATTGTTCCCTTTGGGGCTCCAGTTATTCACTGACCCAGATAAAAGGCATCAAATTCTTGAGGCATGGGGTGATCAACTTTCTGAAGAGAAATGCTTTGCAGATGCTGCAATAACTTATCAATGCTGTTCGTCGTATCAGAAATCTTTGAAGGCGTATCGTGATTGTGGGGATTGGAGAGGTGTGTTCACTGTTGCAGGTCTTCTGAAGTTTAAAAAGGAAGAAATTCTTCAACTAGCACATGACCTATGTGATGAGTTCCAAGCACTTGGGAAACCTGGAGATGCTGCTAAAATAGCACTGGAGTATTGCTCAGATGTCGATAGAGGTGTTGGTTACTTTATCACGGCAAGAGAATGGGAAGAAGCTCTTCGGGTAGCTTATATGCACAGCAGGCAAGATCTGGTTGATACTGTTAGAGATGCAGCTTTGGAATGTTCTGCTTTGCTGATTTCTGAGTATCAGGAAGGATTGCTAAAGGTGGGCAAATATCTGGCCCGTTATGTTGCTGTACGGCAGAGGAGACTGTCACTTGCAGCCAAGCTCCAGTCTGAAGACCGATTTATGGATGTTGAAGACGACAGCATTTCAGAAGTCAGCACTAGCTTCAGCGAAATGAGTGCATATACCACAAGGTGTGTCATCTGCCATTTTTATCTGCGCATCCTCTCTGACCCAATTTTATCTTCTGTTTTTAGTTCTTTTTTTCACTATTTAGTTCCAAGTCCTCCTGCTTTAGGATCAACTGAAACTTCAATCAATGTTGAGTAACATTGTTGAACCCATACGAAATTCTAAATGCTGCTCGTGCAGGTCAACAAAGGAATCTAGTGCTTCCGTCATATCTAGCAGTGCCAGCAAGTCAAGAGGGGCAAGGCGACAAAAGAAAGGTGGCAAGATACGAGCTGGAAGGTAGGCGGCTTCTGTTGAGAGTTTTTTTTTTTAAATAAAATAAAATAAAATCCGAGTGGTTTCTTAAGACGTCAATTCTCCGTTTGTTTTTTCAACTCACCGTCAACTTTATTTGTGCAGCCCTGGGGAGGAGATGGCACTTGTGGAGCATCTCAAAGGGATGTCTCTGACCTCCGGTGCTCTAACTGAGCTTAAAAGCCTACTTGTGGTTCTAATACAACTGGGAAGAGAAGAAACCGCCCGTCAGGTGCAGCTGGCTGGAGACAATTTTGAGGTATCTCAAAGGGCTGCAGTCAAGTTGGCTGAGGATACTGTATCCAACGACAAGATAGACGAGAATGCACATACGCTTGAGAATTACGTGAAAATGCTGAGAGCTCATCAGTCAGCTGATAGTGAAACCACCTGTTGGCGAATCAAAGCATTGTCGCCGCCTTGGACCGGGGTATACTCCAATTCACATGAGTGAGTCATTATTACTCTGTTAAGAATAAACTAGTACTATTAGCCCATCTTTCCCTTCAGAGTAAATTGACAAGGAGTTGACCGTGTTGTGGTTTTGAAAAAACGTTTACAGGCATGCTGAATGTTGATGAGTGGTAAGCAGCGGTAACTGTTGGAATGGAATTGAACGAGAGGCCTCAACAATGATTGCCATATCATTCTGTGGCGGCTGTCAAGGGTAACCCGGCTATATATCGATCGCAGCCAATTCAGGATATTTATGGTGTTCTGCCACTTGGGTGGATTGTTACGTCAAAGTGGTGAAACATTTTTGCTTATAAATCAGGATGTTGGAGGCCGCAGCCGAGCCCGCTTGAGCTTTTTGCTGCTTCCATTTGTGGTATAATTTTGATCGAGTAGTTATATGCATGGAGGAATAAAAAGTTACATCATCTGTTCATCTGAAAATTGGGTGTTGTAGACTTGTAGTGAATAGTGATTGTGAGACATTTAACTATTTGCCACTTTTAAGATGTGGCATTTAACAGTTGGAAGAAGTCGTGTTGTTTTCCTGAAATTTGTAGTATCTCTTTTGTAGCGGTTGAATTGTTGAAATCCGTATTTCGATTTTTTCAATATTTCAGAATGGGTAATTTCATTTCCTTCAAAAGTTTGAGCAGCCGTGCGGAATTTCATGTCCGGGAAATTTCGAGTCGTTAGTACCCAGAATTTTCGCTCACTGCTCGAATTTTGACCCATTGGGCCGAGGACTTTTGACCCATAAGTCCGCGTAAATTTGGCCCATATGTGGAGAGATTTAGGCCCACTCGTACTCAGAATTCCGGCCCATAGATCGGTTGAATTTCAGCCCATTAGTGAGAGTGATTTCGACCGATTAGAGCACGTGTCTTGGGCCCCATGATTCGCGTGCTTTCTGGCCATTCGGACGATCTGCCGAATTCGGCTCATAGGTCCTGGATTTGGGCCGTTTGGTCCGCTGAGTTTTGGCCCATAAACTTGGCTTTTCAGTTGATGGCTATCACGTTACGATCTTAGAACATTCACCACACAAAAAATTAAGTACACATGAAAACAGTTCTTTACTGTTACATCCTACAAATAAATAAAGTGACTTCATCGCAATGCCAAACGGAGCCTTAGAACATTCGTCACACGAAAAATCAAGGACACGAACAAATGTCAGGGAATTAAGTTTGGTTCAGTGCGTGTAATAGCTCACTTGGCATAATAATACAATCAAATGTTTTGTGAATAACAAAATCCAAGTATGGTACAGTAGAAAATAATCGGCGTCACGTATTGTAACTATGTCATGAACAAAGAGAATAAAATAGTTGCATTATGCTCTTATAAATGTAAGTCCAACAAAGCCACAAGGCGTCCTCTATTCAAAGAGATCGGCATCATGAACAATATCGACTCTCTTCAGCTGTAGGAAACAACATATGCAATTAGCTGCTATATTCTTCCTCTTATTTGTCCAGGACAGCTACAAGGTGTCGTAATATCCACAAGAAGAAATGCTGCCTCATAAAAGAGTGTACAAGGCCCCCGGTTCCCCCTAATAAAATCTGCTGTGTCCATCGTTGCATACAGGCCCATTTGTTTAATTTCCAAGTATAGCAAGTGTTCATCGCTTGGAGAACAGTCCTTGAGTTAATGATGAAAAATCATATTCTTTGCCTGATTGAGAGGGGAGGGAAGAAGAGGTCGGGGATGTGCTCTTGTTAGCAGCTGCACTTGCGGCCCCATTTGCTGGGACAGATGAGCTAGTGTTGTATGCTCTGCATCAAAACAAAAGTAAGCATCAGAAAAGCTAAGCCATGATTTGTGACCTCAAAGCACATCTAAATTTCTTTCGCGACCAAGTAAGCTGTGGTATGAAGTTTTAATTGCCAAAAACTAGTCAAGCAATATTGCTTACCCAGGTGTACTAAAATTGAAATTCCCAAAAGAGAATTCCTGATTGTTGTTCGCAACCTGCCAAGTAACAAAGACATGAAAAGATGAACATACAGTAAAACACATATTTATACAGATGATCTAAAAGCCCTTACCTTGGTGGCACCATTCTGTGCTGCTACTGGAGCCAACCCAGGATTCTGATAAGCAAGATTTGTCCAGCTTTGTGAAGGCAAGCCTCCATTGGCAGGATTAGAACCATTACCATTTAGCAGACTGGCGTTCCCTGGAATCATTTGGGGTGCATTTCCAGCTTTAAGAGCAGCCATTAGTAAAGCTTGCTGCTGAGACAGAAGTGCAAGCTGCTGGGGGGTCATAAAAGCAAGTTGCTGCTGCTGGACAGCATATGGCGAAACCATACTGGACTGCAAAATACACGTATTTCTTCAGATAAACCATAGATGTGCTCTTTCTTTTAAATGACAGAGCCATTTCACAAAAGCATTAGTAAAAGTAATGCTGGCGCTGACCTTCTCAAACAGACTCATGATATCATTCTTCACATTTACTTGTGGGGCAGCTGGAGCTGAGGATACTGTCACAGCTGGTGAATCTTTAAACAAGTCCTCTATGCCTGATGTAGACTGGGGCTTACTTTCTACTGGCTTAGCAGAATCCTTTTTGTCTGAGCTAGGTACTGGCTCTGCAGCTGAACAATTGAGAAAGAGAACACAGGAGCCCAAATTAAAAGATACTCCACAGTATGCAAGTAAGGAATATGGTGAAGCACTCGCAGAACATTTCATAAAAAGATGCTCATATAACAAGAATAATTCCTCAATAGAAATGTTAAGTCATAATATCTTACACTGGAAGCCCTCCCATGCACTATCATCATTAGAAGATGACTCTGCTTCTTTCTCGGTTGTTCCATCCATTGATAACATGTTGAAGAGATCAGTTGCATAGTCAACCTTAGGAGGTGGTGCAACTGATGGCCTCTCAACCTTTGGTGGTGTTGCATTAGGAGGTGATTTCTCGGGTTGAGGAGGTGAAACCTTGGGAACTGATGGTTGTGCTTTTGGCTGATGTGGTGCCTGATTTCAATGCAGTTGACCAGTTGTACCAGATTAAAACTATTAGAAGCTAGTAATAAATTATTACACAACAAAATGCAGCAAGTATAAAATAAAACTTAATAATAACTTAAGTCTCCAAATTACTTGAAGTACTCAATGGATATTGTGCCAACTTTAACTTAACACTTATTAACCTAATGTGGAAAATATCACTGGTTGTAAGAATGTGTTTTCAATCATGTAAGCAAAGTGAAACCATTAATTATCATCAAGTTATCAAGGTCAGGCACAAGAAACAAAACTATAAACATGATCATCCATTAGCATGATACACGCTATCACATGATCATTCTCATTTTTCAGTTTGGAAATCTACAGTTTGTGCGCAAGGCATATAACACACACATATATGAAACTTATAGATCGTTCTCCATTTTCGATTAACTATTGAAGTGGCAGATAGTAATTAAGAACTACAATTTGGAATATATATAGCTCGGCTTCAAGAAAAGAGTGTCGATCCCTCAAGCTGTTTACATCTAAAGATGCTACTACCAAAGGCAAGTATCAATAAACTTAACTGATAATCAACACCTAGGAAAAGCTTGTCATAATCCAGTAGGATTACCTGGGTGGGCGTCCTAGAAACCACTGGAGCAATTTTGCTCACTGCAGCTGGTGAAGTGCGGTGTTGCTCAAATGAAGATCTTTGATTATGGCCACCCCTGTTAACACTAGTTTGTGACTCTGAGCTCTTCTCATCTCTAGCACCAGATGATGGTCTTGATGACCCATTCCTCGGTATCCATCTCTTGTCCTCGTATCTACATTTTAGACATAAGTTAATAACATTAGTCCAACACATTGTTCCAAAGGTTAGATCCATAAACACCCCTACAAATTACTCCCTCTGGTCATAAATGTTTGACACTTAGCACAAAGATTTGGTCAACCTTTTAAAATTCCAGCAACCAATTTTATATTAGGATAAGTTTATAAAATCCAATAAGTTTATGATATTATGACAGTACATTTCAAGTCAAATCTATCGATGGCCATTTTTTGTGTTTAAAACTAAGCATTTTAGAATTTTTTTTAATGGTCAGAATTTTAGAAATTTGACCAAATCTTGTCCTTAGAATTAAATATTTATAACCGGATGGAGCAACTGCCTTTTCATTCCCCCATTAATGAATGGTAAGTATTAAAAAGCAAAATTAAACCTTTATTTTGGTTTTGTATTTGTTTGCTTGCGCGGGGGGATGGGAGGCCTTGGATAGGCAGGTGATTTACATTGGTGTACTAGATTTATAGCAAGACAAATGGATTGTACTAGATTTATAGGTACTGAAAGTTGGAGAGGTTCATTACTTTGCACGGATGAAGTTCTCTATCCCAACCCTATCATAGTTAGGGGGCAGCTCCGCTTCCCAGTAGCTATTTGACTTTTCATTCCCCATTGCTGAAAGAAGTGAAGACGGGAATACAATCATCATTGAGAACTGCATTACCCCTTTGTTTGATGGCAAATATTAAAAATTTCTGGTCAGGGAGTAATACATACATTGAATAAATGCAACTTGCTCTGGCAGCCATGTATCCAGGGTAGCCGATCTTACCTGCGTCAGGGAAAAAAATGGTTCATTAAATAGACAAAAACCGCATGCTATTGATATAGATTTGAAGGCGAGGCCACATGAAAGAAAGAAATGCATCTCAAAGAATTAAACATAAAACAGATACATAGCTGTTTCACGTTCTCTGTTTGTAATATACACAAACAATTTGGTGCAATGATGACCAGTAAAAAATTGTGAGCACGAGTTCTCAAAGTACATGAAAAAGATAAGCCAGCCAGCTCAGAAGCTTCGAAGTCAAGGTTGTTGCAGAATCCAGATAGCTAAGCTTATTGGTTGATGACTATCTTTGCCACAACTACCAAAGGTGTGGTTTGCCACACAAAGTGTGGCCAACAAATCGTTGGCCACAAGTGTGGCAAAGTTAGGCACCAAATTGAGTGTACGACATGTGAAAAGAGCTAATAAAGTGTGGCATGTCACAGTTGTAACAAACCAGGCTCTAGGCTATTAAAGTGTAGCACGCCTAAGGTTTGGTATGGCAAACTCTGGTCACCAAACCAAACAGCCCGGTTTCGCATATGATGGATTGATGGCCATTCTACCATGTTGAATTTATGTTATGTTTATAATCTTATATAAACTTACATTAGCCAGGATGCAATGAACTGAAAGAAACAAGCATAATATACTTTGATACTATAAAAAAAATGACACTGATAGAGCAGCTACCAAATTTTCATGAAAAGTTGGTCATTCAAAGTACTCAAGTTGTGTTTCAAGCCAAATTTGTCAGAACTTGTATGAAGGAGAAAAAAAAAAGTGGGCATACTGAGTTCGAAAATAAACAGTTGAACTCATGCACATAATTCACTGACCTTAGATATATGTACCCCGAGGCTTCTATGAATTCCAGAACACTGCATGCATATAAAGATCCCAAGATTTACACTTGCCCATCGAGGACCCCTGAAAAATGGGGAAACAGTCAGTTGACAAGAACTATGGCACATGCAAGTGTCTACCTATCAGTTCTAACATTACATGCTCAGAGATGAATTTACAGGTAACATTAGACATGATGGAGAGGAGGTTTAACCAACTATACTGACTATATAAGTCAATAAATAGAACAGAAAATTTTCATTTCCAGGAATAGATGGTTAACATGTTGGATGCAACAAACCAGTGATGAAGCAATAAGAATAAATATCTTAAATAATTGCTTCTAGATTACTAGAGGCCCTCCAAATGCCATAGAACTTGCTCAACACAAATCAGCAAGCGGACAATGAATCAGAATGTTAACTTCTATAAAAAACAACGTCATCAAGTGAAAGTACTCTTAGCAGCAAAGCTAATGATAAAACATAAACTTGTATAATGCATCAATAGCCATCTTTTGGAGAACCAATTGCACAGGATCACTCACTTTGACTTGCAGTCTGCACATTCTCTATTCTCAGGCAGCCGCAGGAGGCCTTCCAATATCTGGAAATCAAGGACGAGCCATAAACATGGTAAATAAGACAGGGTACTTCATGAACAATACCTAATATTGTTGAGGCTTGAGCGGGTCATGAAAAAATCAAAATGGTAACAATATGTTGTAGCAACGAAGATAGCTAGGTTGCTTGTACAGTTGACTGCGAATTGTTTAACTTTTTATTGCCACGATTGAGAAGGATACCTACTATAAAATTACAAACAATTTTTCAAATAACGATTTCCACCAGTCGAACAATTCACAAAATCCATATAATCAAGCTTAAATTAGCAAAAGCGCCCGCTCCCCGATTCATAATAACGGCAAAACAAAGGAAGCGAATTCCGATCTGCGCCACGCTCTTCCTAACGCCACAAAAAGAGTTGCAAAGCAACCGCGCGCAATTCAGGAGCGGGGAGATCAGGAACCCACGAAATCGCGGATCCCAAATCTCCCTCACCTAACAACAAACGAAATCGCACGCCGAATCGACTCTGCCGTAGCTTTCCAACCCAAATCGAAAGGGCCAGCCTCCGATCCGAACAAATCGACATATAACGGAACGGGAGGATATACGAACCTTCTTGTGCTTGGCGTTGAGCTCCTTGGAGACGGAGGCCTTCTCGTTCATGGCTGCGCGCGCCCCCGAAATCCCTCGACCCCGAACGGAAACTCCTCCCGAATCCGGGGGCAAACCAGGCGCCGGACCAGGATTCGCCGTCTCCGGTGGGGGGCCTCGGGATCTCAGCCTCCCTTCCTCCCTTCCCCCCTCTCCTCCTCCTCCTCCTGATCTCGCCGCGTCGAGGGGAAGAGAGAGAGAGAGATGGGCAGCGAGGAGAGGGGAGGGATCTGTGCGTGCGTGCCCTCCCCGGCTTGACCTTCCTCGCTTCGCTTCTCCTCCCCTCCTCCCTCCGATTTCCTTTCCTTTTCCTTCTATATTTTTTTAATTAATTATTTAAAACAGTTTGGGTTTTTTTAAAAAAATAAATGTGTGGTGTGATAATGACGGCGCGTTGGGTTTGCTGGCCTAACCAATGCAGACCACGTTTTACTGGTGTTTTAACCCGTGATATTCTTTCGACCGGAGTAGTGATTAGCTGTAACTAATATTCTCGGTAGCCATCCAGCTTGTTCTCAATTTCTATTTGATGGTGAAAGGAATTATTAGGATATTGTGTATAGTTGCTATGCTGTCGAAATACCTAATGTTTGTTTTCTGTTCGTGACTATTGCACCAATATAATAAATAATAAATCATGGTGCTGTAGTTTTTACAATACAACAACAAACATAACATCACTATGAAAATTGCAAATGAATATTGTGATCGCCCGAAAAGTTTTCAACTGATCAAACAAGCTTCAAAACACAATACAATGACGTGATTTTTTATCTTATAGTCCCGTGTATGTTTTATTCAGTACAAAATAGATGCTTGGCTCTTTCAAGTTTTTTTTGTTCTTATACTCATCGTATTCAATAATTAATTGCACGTGGTTATTTTTGGAGGTCAGATAACAATATAAGTTATGTACGTTATCCCTCATTATATGTTCTGGAACAATATAAAAGAAAATAAAGGTTGAGATAAATATTATGAAGATCTTACATATATTGATCGTTTCTAATATAAGAATTTTACAAGATTTTTATGAGATTCATTTTATTTTTATTATAAAAAGAAGGCATGATCTGTAAAGGTTTTTGTCATGCTTTGTTAATGTTTAATTGCGCTTCAAACCGCTGTACGTCCCAAAATCAACTATTGTAAATATAGTAAATTTTATCTTATGTTTTTGTTATCATTCGTTGGCAACCACTCAAGATGAAAGGAGTAACTTGAGAGAAGAGAGTGAAAATGATTGAAGATGACAGGAACATACAGTAGTCCAAAGTGGGGACTCCATCTTGAATTGTCCAAAGCTGAAAGCAATTGATGAAGTGTGACCTGGAGTGGTGTACTATTGCCACTCTTTGATCAGCCGCATGTAATCACCCATGGCTTTGTTAGTCAACCATCCACTATGTATTCCCCTTTCCATTTTATTTCTAACCGACAAGATAGTGGTAATGATTTCCCTTTATTTTTCCCTTTTGGTTTATTTGGTCTTCCATGTAATGCATAAATGCATTTGATTAGTTGGAACCCATGTCAGTATGTTGCTTATGCATGATTGGTCAGGTGCAGTAGTTGGTCCTCCATTTGCCTTTTTTCTTTTGTTTGGCTTCCCATTAGTTTTGGTTTGGTGGACAGCTGTCGGATACTTGGGGTTAGAATTTTTCTTTTTAAGTTTAGAGGCTTATCTCATCAGAGTGATTGTCAGAAACTAACGATGATAAATTGACATTAATCCAAAGTCTGTGATGTCACGGGCTCAAACAGTGTCACTGCTATGTTTGGTTTCTTATTCCTTTCGCTTTGTGCCGACTGAAAACTGAACATTGGATTCGGTTCAGTTTTCAGGTGAAGAAAAGCACACATGATTTTCGGACAGGCCCATCTCCGTACATATTGAAAAATCTGAAATGAAACCGATGCATCCTCGCAAGAGCAATTCCGTTTTCACACATTTGCTTTCCTTTTTTTTCCGTTTATGTGCTATGGCCTCAAGTTTCACATATTCTTTGTTCTCTTGAAGCTGCTACGGTGTCAAAAGTTTTCTTGCCAATGCCGTCGACTACATCGTTTACTTTATAGCTGATAAGCCCAGAGAAAATAAACAAAAAAAAATTAAAATAATTTATGAGTAAAACTTGTATAGAAGTGTTTTCGTGACTTAAAAAGCCAATGCTAGAAAAGGAAAAAGTACACCGAAGGTCCTTCAACTTGTCATCGAGTTATAAAATCGTTCTTGGACCGCAAAACTAGATACAACGCATTCCTCAACTTACAAAACCAATACAAACTAGGTCCCTCGGCAGTTTTGACTCCGGTTTTATCCGACATAGCAACTGACTCAGTGTGGGACTCACGTGGGCCCCACACGTCAACCTCTTCTTCCCCTCCCATCTCCACCTTTCTTTCTCTCTCCTCTCCTTTCTCTTCTCTATATTGACCACAACCCGCTCGTCATGCCGCCCAAGGAGGTGGTGGCCGGCGGCGTTGCCGCTGTCAAGGGGTACATGGCCAGGTGGTGGCGCGACGCCCGCGCCGAGGCAGCGCCATCGCCGAGAGCCCCAAGGTGTCGACGCCCAAGGAGTGGCTGGTGTGCAGCGTGTTGTCGCTGGGCAGCTAGGTGTCTGACGTCACGAGGTACGGCATCGGGCAGGCGGCAGAGGAAGGAATTGCGCGGGCGGCGGGCGGCGGGCGGCAGGGGAGGAGCGGCATGCGGGCGGCAGGGGAGCAATTGGGCAAGGGGATAGCGCGGCGAGCTGTTGCCTATGGTGAGGACGCCGTTGAGGTCGGAGGGTGGCACGGAGGACAGCGGAGACGGGGTGCAAAGGACGGCGAGCAGGTTGGAGGGATGGCGCGGTGGCAGCGGATGTAGCGAGGGACGACAGCACGAAGATGGAGGAGACGGGGAAGAGGAAGAGGTGGTGCGCGACCTCCTCCTCCTCCTCCTCCTCGAACCCATCGCCATCGTCGTTGTCGTTCGCCACCGCTCTGCTTCGCGCCGTTGGCTTCGCGCGCCATCGCCTCGTAGGCCTGCCTGCTCCGCCCGCGACCGCCCCGCTCCGCGCCGCCGGCTTCGCGCGCTGCCGCTTTGCCCACTGTCGCCCCACTTCGCCTACCTGCTCTACCCGCCACCACCCCGCTGGCTTCGTGCCCCGTCATTTTACTCCGCCTGGCTTCTCCGCTCGTTGCCACCTCGCTCTACCCCGTCCACTGTCTCCCCATTCCACCTGCCTTCTCCGCCTACCGTTGCCCCACTCCATCCCACCGGCTTCGTGACGCGGATAGATACAGAGAAGAGAGGGGATGAGAGAGGAGAGGAGAGAAAAAGAAAGGTGGAGAGGGGAGGGGAAGAAGAGGCTAACTTGTGGGACACTAGGGCCCACGTGGGTCCCACGTTGAGTCAGCTGCTACGTCAGACAAAACTGGAGTCAAAACCGTCGAGAGACCTAATTTGCACTGGTTTTGTAAGTTGGGAGATACGTTGTATCTGGTTTTGCGGTTCAAGGATGATTTTGTAACTCGATGACAAGTTGAGGGACCTTTGGTGCACTTTTTCCGCTTGAAAATAAAATACGGGGAAAAAGTACACCGAAGGTCCCTCAACTTGTCATCGAGTTATAAAATCATCCCCCAACCGTAAAACCAGATATTGGGCGTCCCTTAACTAATCAAAACCGGTCACAATAGGTCCTTGTCACGCCGGCTCAAGGACAAGACCAGCTCAAGAAGTCTAACAGAGAGAGGCAGCCCTCGAGAAGGTTCCCTGCAAACGAGTGGACCCGGTAACTGTCACGGGGCCACTGTTAGAGAGTGAGTGAGACCTTGTAGTGCTGTGCTATTTGTAAAATCAAAGGTGTTTTTGATGATTATTCTGTGATGAACAATTGGGCATCGGAGATTATTGGTTTTGTTATTTGGAATTTATTCACGAAGTGGTTTTGGAGATGATTGGATTTCACAGGTGATCGCAGGATTCATTATTTCATGTGACCGGTCAGACCGGGCTCTGGTAGCCGGTCGGACCAGCGGTATGCGCGCGGTCAGACCAGCCAGCCCACGGTCTGACCGGCCGACACTGTGTCGGTTTCGGTTTCGGGTTGTTTGTTTGGATATCCGTGATTATTTCATGATTATGACTTCTAGATGGATACTATACATATGTAATACTGTTGTTTGCTACTAATGAGTCAAGTTGGAGATAGCTTGGTCTCGGAATATGGTTTCTTTGTTTGTTCCATGTGTAGGTGACTCGATGTCTCGGGAGAGTATTTGCGGTGATGGACCGGGAGTCGGCTTGGGGATAAGACGACGTCTGTGGTGATCAGAGATCATGCGGGATACTTAGGCTAGAGTTGATGCACGTGGTTGATGGAGATTCCATATGGCATACGATGAAGTTATTGTGTGCGTATGGGATGTGGAGTCAAATTTGGAAGGAGTCCAAATTTGGTACGATTGGTTATGTAATGTTTCTTTCTTCTACTAGAGGGTTTCCTAAGGTGTTTAGGACTCTTAGTATGAGTTTGGTTCGTGGCTTTAGGCTGCCTACCTCATGTATAAATAGAGGGGGAGCGTGAGGCTTCCCGGTATCGCTTTTGAGAGCAATTGAGTTGAGTTTTGAGTTAGAGTTTCGAGTTTAGTCGAAATTTTTGTAAGGAGTGCTGTTGGTGCACTTTGTAAACATAGAGAGAAGTAATAAAGTCGTCATCCACTTTAAGAGTTCTTCGATTTGTGTTTCACTGGGTTTCGGCGGTCTAACCGGCAACGCACCGGCGGTCAGACCGGCGGCATCGCGGCGGTCTGACCGGCGGGCACACGACGGTCAGACTGGCGGTGACAGGAGTCGACAGCAGGCGTTCTCGGCGGTTCGACCGATCAATCTACATCGGTCAGACCGACGTTCATCAAGCGGTCAGACCGACAGATCAATCTCGGTCTGACCGCGATCCATCGATTTCGAGGGTAACTTTTATTTCCGCTAAAAGTTTTCGGTTTTTGGGTATACCAACCATTCATCCCCCCTCTGGTTGGCTTAGTTCTTGTGATTCGATCCTACACTATTTAGGTCGGCAGGAGAGAGAGAGATTAACTTTGGAGCAATGTACAAACAACTTTCTCCAAAATCAATTCCAATCTCTCCTCCTCTTACTCTGAAACTCTCTGTTCTTTCTCTCTGTTCTTCCTCTCGACTCCGTTCTATCTCTTCCGCTATCTCCAAATCTCTCCAAAACAATTGAATCGCAGTTGAGAAAATCGAGTTCGTGACAATTTGGTATCAGAGCAA